CAAATGTTTGTCTGCATTTTTCTGTTGGAAAAGCAAGCTGTAGTCAGGGAAACCCAGGGCTTCTGGTGCCCTTCTGCTTGGTTAGATGGCTACAACTTAGGAACTGTCTGTCTGAACCAGCACTGGCCAGCCTGCTAAGAAGTATCAGCAGGCAAACAGGGCATCGTTTATGTCTCTATGCTCTATAACGCCTGTATAGCACATGAGTTACAACTGGGACAGTCATGAGCTGTTCTGCTTCCCATATGGGCCCCTAACTGGAGGGGAGTGAGTCTCTCTTTACCACCATCCAATACAGTGGTATTGGGCAGTTTTCCCTTTTACATTGACTTGGTGGAGAATACTTATCCTCTCAGGTGCCAGGATTGCTGTATCATATGAAAAAAAAATCCAGAACTGGATGAAATTTCAAGGAGCCACTGCCGGGTAGGACACAAGAAGTCCATGTAGCTGTATTCCCTGGTTCAAAGAGCTTTGGTGTAGACTTCAAAATTCCTGGATAGGTGCCTGAACTTTGGCTGTCTGGAGACAGATAGGTACAGAAGGCAAACTTCCTAGACTGTACAAAAGGGGTCAGTGAAACCTTGGCCAAATTTACTACAAGTATTAGGAACTAGTACAAGTCTAATGGCCAGTAGGAGGCACTTAAATGAGATCTCTGTAAGTGTTTTGGAAAAACAGCAACCCTCTGCCAAACGGGAGAGCCCAACCATGGAGGTTCAAGTGGCCTCCTGTAAGTCTATAGACACCATAGCTCCCTGAGGAGATGGTCAGGATGACCAAGCAGGTAACTTCTTTTTGAACCTCTGGAATCATAAGGGGGAAGGAACAAAAGAGTTTAGCTCTTTCAGCCAGAAGCTAGATGGTTCCTATCTCCAAAATGATTTCAGTGAAAATAGAGAACATAAATTTATTGCTTCAAGTGAAGTGACATCATAGGCCTTATGTCAAGAGGTATTGCACCATATGGCTGCATCTAAAGTGCTTTCTGAACCAAATCTTCAAGGGAATAAATTCAGAACCTAAAATACCATGATCAGGAAGAGCTAAACTGAGGGAGGACGTGTGCTCTTGACTGTGGGGCAGAGAAGTATCTAACAGGCTTATTTTTAGTTCAGTTGGTGGCATCTTGGAATTGGATGTCAACATCCAGTTTAACTACGAGGGGGCCTTCACCGTTAAGGAGGAGGCAGGAAGGAATGAGAGAGAGAAGCCCATCTCTTCCAACTTTAAGGCCCTTTGAGCATTAATTGAATGTAGCTAGTGAAAGCCCGTGGTCCACTGAGACTTCCTCTTCCACCTCTCAAGCCATGACTGTGTGGAAGCTGAAGATTTTATTAATTGGGTCTGCTACGGGGTTCAGCAGCTTTGCACTGAAAACAGATTTGAGCAGGTTGAGTTGCATTGGATTGCCACAAGAGAAACAGTTTTCTCTGGCTACTCACATTTTACATTCACTAGATGGAGGAAAAACTAAGCAACAGAATAATTTAGGAAGCTGTGTGGCACCTCAGTACTTATAATGCACACTCTGCTGCAAAAGTTTCTTCTAGACAGTCTAATCTCACTTTTTTCAGAGTCTAGGCGAGTGCAAAACAATCCTGTAATTCCACTGTGTGCTTATGAATATTCAAAGAGTGACATAAGTAAAAACTCATCATGTTAGACTGACTGTACCCACTTGGAAGAGTCACTATTGTTTGAAACAAAGCCTTCTGAAAGTGCCTTTATCCTGCTATATATGAGGTGATTCTTAAAGGGAATATAAAGCACAGGCTTTTTAGATTATAAAACTGAGTGTGTTTAACCAGTCAGTTCCCTTTATTGGCATAACATTCCTAAACCTCTAATTTTGACTGTCATCCCTAAATTTATTCCATTGTAGCTGAAAAAGGGAAGGGAGAGAGAGAAGCATAGTAAGGGAAGACCACTGCTTTAAATGGGAAGTTATATACAGCTGCATCCTTCTCTAGGAGGATTTCATAAGTTCATTACCCACTATCTGAAACTTGTTTTCATAAAAATAAGAGGGTGCTTCATTCACATGGCCAGCCGTGGATTATCTATGCATTTATATTGTTATGGGTTGGGATAAACCTCATTGAAACTAGGGGATGTATCCATTGCCCTTCATGTTAGAAGAATGAAGCTCCTTTTTGGAATCAGGTAGTTGAAACAATAGGGACCCCCCAACCAAAACACAGTGACATGTCACCACCTACAACAAAAGCATATGTGAAGCAGCTCAGGAATTTGGACTATGTGGGTGGAGGAGCTTTGCTGGATATTGTTTTAGTAGAGGTGTGTGAGAGTGAGTAGCAGGAAAGACACTGCAGAAACCACAGACAAAGAAACGGAGCAGAAAGCCAAGGATACAGCCAAAACAAGCCTGACCTTGAGGAAAGCCTGGGGAGAGCTTTTGGGTGAAAAGTGCTCACTGAAAGAGACTTGGAACTGTGAGCAAAAAAACTGTCTCCTGTTTGAGTCTGCCTTTGTTCAGAGAAATAGGACTTTGTACAAACAGGATTGCACCAAAGAAATAACTGACTGTCATCGTGAAAACAACTTGCAAGACCCTACATTTTGGCTAACTGCTCAGGTCAAAAAAGGGGTAACAATATCATGTTCCTCATCATGATATCAGAGCATAAATTATGATCAGCTTAGCTTCACATATCTGCACTATTCACTGCATCGACTCCTGCTTCTTGATGATTTCAAGTTGAAGTACCATATAAAGCACACGGGGTACCCTAGTGGCGGTGGCGGCAAAGGCACAGATAACTGTAGCAAGTAAAGGATAACTACTGTGCTGGATTGGATCACTAGTTTACCAACTGCACTTTCTTTCCTTTGGAAATGTCCAACATCCAGCGCTTCAGAGAAAGCAAAAGACTTGATTTTCCCTACATTACAATGTGTAACTGTAAATATTTTTAATTGTAACTTTACCCACTCACTTTAAAAATGCAGCTGCAATGTTTACTCTAGGCCCTCCTGCAGCAGTTGACTAAATGATATAATTGTTTCCTTTTAGTTTACTTTAAAAGTTGCCTATCATTCATTTTATCAAGTACCCCTTCCTCATGCATTATGTTGAGACAGCATGAAAACAGACTGACTAGTTTCCTATTGCCTTTCCTAATCTCTAAATATCTACATCCTTTGACTCTTCTGTACAGGCTATACAATACTGATTGATGCCCCGCTCCATACCCCTATAAATCCCTCATAGTTCTATCCATTTACACTACTGCTTCTCCGAATCTTTCTAATGGTGCGCTTATCAGCTACACTTTCATAGGCAGTAATGGCCTGAATCTGAGTTGTTGAGCATCTACAGCTCCCATTGATTTCAGAGATCATGAAAAATCAAGCCATGTGATTTTCTTTTTTAAAAGACTTCCATCTGCATGTGACACATGACATGTTACAAATCTACTCTTAGGCACTTGGCATCTGAAGAGTCAATTACCATATTATTTACCACCTACTTAATAAGCTAAAATTTTGGGTTAATTTTAGGAGTGTTTGCAAACAGGGCTGGCTCAAGGCACCAGCTTGGCAAGCAGGTGCTTGGTGCGGCCACTCCAGAGAGGGGCGGCAGATCTAGCTATTCGGCGGCAATTCGACGGACAGTCACTCACTCCTGCTCGGAGCGAAGGACCTTCCGCCAAATTGCCGCCGCAGATTGCGATCGCTTTTGTTAGATTTGGACAAAATAACTGAGAAAATATCAAGTTACAAACCAGGAAGGGGAAACATCACCACTTTTACAATGCGATGACTGATGTCACTCAAACACTACAAATCATTTTTTTCTTTGTACTCTAAAACAGGTACTGCAAGTGTGAGTTCCTGGAAGAGAACCAGGGATTATCAAATTTCTAGTTGTACACAATACTTGAAGTATTGCTTCACCAGCTTTTATTACTGGATTTTAAAGAACATTAGACATTGCTTGTGCACTACTCTTTGCCTAGCAGGAAGTTTTTCTAATTACTTGCAGAAAATTAGCGGCATATTTTTAAAATTATATTGGCCTAAAGTAGTTTGTGGCTGTTAAGGATTTCATTTCCTTTAAGCAGCAATAATCCATGTGGAGGAGACAATTGAGCTTTCTAGCTGCAGTTCCTAGGAATTCTTCCATCATGAATGCAGAATTTGCTCATTCTATTCGGAAGCGGTTTTGGGTTTCTATCATAGGGGATCCCGAGGAAACAACCCCTGGACAGTACAGCTCTTACAGGAGCCATGTTTCCAGGGACTTCCCTACTTTTACTCCTCCAAAAGATACCTTGCCCTCTGATGGTATGAAGCAATCACAAATTAATATATAGACAAAATGTATGTTGGTTTCCCCAGAATGTTTGGGATGGGATGGGAGAAGGAGAAAATCCAGGGAAACCTATCTCTCCTCTTGCCTATCTCCCACAATTCTGAAGGCAGTCCCCCAGAGGAGCTACCATAGGTTTGGGCAGGAGGAGGGAACTGAATCTCCTCAGAGTCAGATCAGTAGAGGCAAGTTTTATGAAAGGGAGGAAGATCTGGCCCCAAAGTTTATTGATGATATACAAATAGTGGATTTTATATGGGAGTAACTATGCCACTCAGTGGAAATTTTTCTCATTCTAAATATGCTCATTATTAATTGAATAGTAATTGCATATATTAAACTGCAAAATGAGATAAGATCATTAAAAATATATACAATTACCCTTTTATCTAGTACAGAAGTAAATTTATTAAAGATTAAATGTACTATAGTTTCCACCATAGAAGTCTATTTTTCATGTGTACACGTAGCTGTTTTTTAGTGGTAGAGTTAATACAATCAAAGGTCTGCTTCTCATTTAAAGATTAATATTTCAAGTCTACATTATACAAACTGTAATCCATATCTTTAAGACTCAAGTTATGACTTTTTAATGAAAGCACTGCACGCTGCTCTGTATAAATATACAAAATATTTATTAAATATATCACAAGATTTGGTATTTACAGTTTATTTACATTAAACAAGTTTTCAGGTAAATCATTATTTAGCATCATACTGTATTTAAAAGCAAAGTTTTTGTATTTCAGTGGGCAAAACAATCTAAGCTCACAAAATAGTGTACACAAGAGCTTGTTTCTTGCCCATCAGCTTGTCCATGTTTCTTCTTTCTTGCCCCTTTTCAATTTTTTGTTTTTCTCTTGACGTATAGTTTCACACTGAAATGATTTTATTTCAGAGAGTCTCTGTATGTATTCAGGTGGAGCTCCAGCAAAAGGATCTGTGAAATGGTGATGACCTAAGGGGGGGGAAAAACCCACTGATTCTACCATACTAAATCAGGTAGGTCTTAAGTACCTTTAATAAGAAATATGTCTTCAGCAGAGTTACTTGAAAGGTTGGTTTGTATTTAATGAATCACTAGTCTAACCCTAAAATTTGGCATTCCACTTTCAACTTAAAACCTCAACATGGGGATATAGGATTCTAGAAAACAAGTCTTGACAGTATATGTATTTTTAAATGGTGAACATCTCAACAGTCAAATCTATATTGAAAGGGGCAGTGGACAAGCAAAAGTTACTAAAACATGTATGATACTAACATTTTAAACTAATATTTTTGGCAAATTATTAAAAAACAGATCTCTGTCTGGTTTTCAGTCCCACTATTATTCATTTTCTCCTACTTCTTTTCACATTGCTTTTTAGCTCATCTACCTACACATGCAGAAATATTTTTACATAAGGGGCTTTTAATAACAAAGGTATGCATTGCATCTGGAGACATTTTTATTTCAGTATCATTACAAATATTAAACTATTACACAGGATACTGTTGACAGATTAATTTGCTACCTACTAACCCTTCCAAGCAGTATAAATACAATTGTGGTTTGGAACCAAACTAACCTAAAAACAGTACTTGCTAGATCGATATTTCAGCATAACAAAGTTTAAGTGGCTAATATGGTCAAGTGAGTTTAGAAGTAGCACTTTTCAGAGATAGTCTTCTAATGAAAAAGTTACAACACAGATGTTTCATGTACTTTTTGGTAGTTATTTTCCTCCTCAAATGTAGTGACACTGGAGGTCAGCGGGTTCATTCAAGTAATCTTTTCTCTGATCTCATCATACTGTTTAGAGACCAGTATTCTACTCGTGGAGCACAAGATTAGCAACCAGTAACTTCAGTTCTAATCCCAGCTCTGACAGTCACAGCCTCTGTCTCAGTTTCCCCATGTGCAAAATGTGGATAGTGGGAAGATTCTGTGAAGTCTACAGCTACAAAACACTTCATAAAGCCCTCTGAGTGCCAAGTATCCTCTGTTATAGTAATCATTTTGTGCATTATTTAAATTTCTTCCAATCACAGCCATGAAAAAGTGAAATGTCATTGTCTCACAAATGACCTGAGTATATGTGTTGTCTCACATTACTCTTTCCATACAGACAACTATTCATGAAACTGAACTGAAAAATGGAAATTCTGAGCCAAAAAAAAAAAAATCAAATCAACAGAAAAACCAAGAAACATCTATTCATGTGACTCTTCTGTCATCTTAGAACAGGAATAATTCCTAATAGTTGATGACAGTATACACAAAATAAGTGTTTTACAATTATCCAACCCAGCTTTTCTCATTTTTAACTGCCTGCAAAAAGTGTTATTTCTTCATATACTTCACTGTAAACATTATCCCTTCAATAAATATATGTAATCGCTAGAACTTCAAGAAGTTTTATCACAGAGGAAACAGTTTTCAAAAGAACAGCAAGGAGTCCAGTGGCACCTTAAAGACTAATAGAGTTATTTGGGCATAAGCTTTTGTGGGCAACCTCCCCCCCCGCCCACCGAAGAAGTGGGTTTTTTTAATCAATGAAAGCTTATGCCCAAATAAATCTTTTAACCTTTAAGGTGCCATCGGACTCCTCATTGTTTTTGTGGATACAGACTAATATGGCACAAGACAACTAAAGCATTGACAAGTTAGAGCTTGTCTACAGCAACAGTGAGTTTGTGACAAGCTGGGGATGTAATCCTCTTTCAAAGAGGACTAGATCAAAGCTCATTAACAAACTGTTAATGCATGTCAGCAGAATCCACAAAGTATGTAGCAGGCTAGGGTGGGGTAGATTCACACCTCAGTTGCCACAAACTAACTGTCCATGTAAACAAGCCCTTAGAGTTACCCCTTCTACAACTCCTCAGTTCTAATAGAATCTGACAAGAGCTGAACACTAAAATCGTACACGTATTATACATTTCTTACCAAACTTGTATCTGGGTCCCGCTGGAAGTGAACATATGCTGGAAATGTGGTTATTCTTCTTGGATCTATGGATGTCACAGTTAAAAGTCTTGGAATTAATATATCTGAATAAAAAACACCCACTTTATAGAGCACAAATAAAAAAATGGTTAGATTTATTCACTGTATGTATGTATGGAAAGTCATTAGTGTCTTTCCTAATGATGTTCCCAAAGATCCAAGGGAGTTGAGAAAGACTGTTTTGTTGATGAGAGGTTGAAAGGATTCTTGAATTCTATAATTATTTTATATTTCCATAGCCCTTTCCATCCAACTACCTAAAAGCACTTTACAAATATTAATTCATTAATACTGATATGCCTATTATCCTCATGCTGATGGGTAAATTGAGGCACGGAAATTATGCTTTGTGGCATAGGGCAAGTTTATCAGTGGTAGAGCTGGGAACGGAACCCAGATCTGCTATTTCCTAGCCCGGTACTCTATCTATAGACGAGTTAGGGCTTGTTAGGGATTGTGGGTACTTTGATAGTCTCTGCCTCTGAGTCTTTCAAACTACCCACAATCAGCAAAATTTGAAAGGCTCAGAGGCAGAGACTATCAAATCAATTGTTACAACTATAGACAATAAAGAACAGCAAAGAAAAAAACCTCCTAAATCTCATTGAATGGAATGGGAAGGATTTACCACCTATTCTGGCTCTTTTCTGCAGACAGTACTTTTGGGTCAAGAGGTGGTAGGTCAAACCAGTCCATCTCCAAAAGTAACTATAAAGAACATTTTTTGTTAGATATATAAAAATAGATGTTTTCTTTATGCCACCAGGGATTCCCCTACACCACAGGAGTTTGCAGCTGTTCTTTTAGGACAGCCCTTCATCCCCTTTATACTACCAGAATGGCACAAAGGGATTGAGCAGAGGGCTAGGATATATCCCTTGACATTTAGGTCTAGCGAATATGAAACCATCCTAATCTGGTACTTAACTGTACATGTTCCATCTAATTTTAAAGTAGTAACCACATTTGTAGCCTTTTTAACTTTTTCCCATTCTGGAATTTTATTTCACCGACTATAATGGCCTCTATGTTACTAATTACAATAAGTAAAAAGTTGAACACAAAGATGATAGAGCATCCAGTTTTCTGCCCAATGTTTTTCAAACAAGTCACTAGAAAGTAACACAAGTGCATATATACTAACCTTTTTGCCTGAGGAGTACAGAACAGTCTGATCTTTTCCACCAACATCCCTTCTCCCTCTAGCTACCTTTTGTACAGATTCCTTTCCATATATGACTCTCTCCAGTGCTCTGCCATTTCAGGCCTTGGAGGATTTGCTGGTATAGACACACCAATAGAACTATACTGGCAACTCTCCAAGTGGAGATGCAGCTTACACAAGCAAAAAAGTTCTTTTCACAGTAATGCTTAAACCACTGTCCTTCTGTTTCTCTTTTCCCCGATTCCCCCTTTCCTGTAGATATGCCATATCATGTGTTTCTTTTCATAAGGGAACTGGGGTTACATTTCCCCCACCTCCACTAAAAATTCCTTACCTCAAAGCTCCTATCTCTCCACCTCCATCATGAATGGCTGGCATCTTCAGTGGACTTGGGTTCCAAGAATCTAGTCCTCTCTTCTGCAGATCCACCACAGTTATGTCTCCCCTGCAGAAGGAAGTAGTCATCTTTCAAAAAGTGACTAAGAAGGGCAGGATTTCTATTTCAATTGGTACTGCAAGAAAGGCTTTGCTGGTAATATTGATTTTCACCAGTTATTTCCCCATCACTCCCAGCCTTACAATGTTTCCCAAATGGGGGATGCATCCTTTTGTGGGGGCAGGTGAAGAACTAGCCAAACCTCTCAATTATTCTCCAGAATCTTCATTTAAACAAACCAGACAGTTTTGAGGTATGAACTGTCACATTTATTTCAATGGGTGCTAACTTAACTTAACTAGTGACATAAGCAGGTAAGAAAGGCAAGGAAGTATATTATGAAGATCTATATCATGGGAAGGCCTCTAACAACATACAGTAGAGCTGAAGGGGTGCACAGCTGATTTTATTTTCCTGAAGGGGGTCTCAACTTCTCAAGGTTTGGGAAACACTGCACTAACCATAAGTAGCCTAAAGACTGAATGTTCCTGGTAAAACTAAAGCACATGCTTTAAAAATGTAGGAAGGGAACAGGAGTAAGTATATGGGAAGCTTAAATAACCTAGAGTTTATCTACAAAAGGAAAAGACTTGGAATAGCTAGTGTGGAACCAGTGGTGCAAGTAAAATCCATTTCTTACCAGTACGGGGGGTGGGGGCACAAACTAAGCGGGGGACACATGACCTCTCCATGTGACTCCTCCCCATCCTATCCCCAGCCCAGGGCCCCCACGCTCTCCCAGTCCCCTCCCTATGATCCATCCCATGTTACCGGAGCGGGGGTGTTCTGTCCTCCTCCTGCTGCGCCGGAGACTTCAGGAAAGGAGCAGAACATGGAGCCACTGGTCAGCCCCACTCCAGCAGCTCCTCCAGTCTCCTCTACTGCCCCCAGCCCCACCCCCCGCCCTTCCACAGCCCTGCGTCTCCGTCCTCCGGCTCTATCTGTACAGCAGCAGCCCTGCCAGAGGACAGGGCTGGATGCAGGGCCGGCTCCAGGCACCAGCCCACCAAGCTTGTGCTTGGGGCGGCACCTGGAGGGGGGCGGTGTGGTGCTCTGGCTCCGGCCGCCGGGGAGAGCGGGGCCACGGCCGGGCTCGCTGCCCTCCCGCCGCGGCTCTGGCCGCCGGGGAGAGCAGAGCCCCGGCCGGGCACTCCGCCCTCCTCCCAGGGCTCCGACCGCCCTCCCCCCCGGTGCCCTCCCCCCGGCCACCGGGGAGAGCGGAGCCCCGGCCGGGGCTCGCCGCCCTCCCCTGCCGCACTGGGAGGGAGGGGGGTGGCGGCTGGAGGCTTTTTTGCCTGGGGCGGCAAAAAAGCCAGAGCCGGCCCTGGATGGATGGGCAGGGCTGGGGGTGGTACAGCTGCCGGAGGAGCTTCCAGCATTCTGCTCCTTTCCCTGCTGCCCCTCCTAGCGGGGAAAGGAGCAAAAGTCCCAGCCCCAACCCCTGCCTTTCCACGGAGCTGTGTCTCTGTCCTCATACTACAGCAGCAGCCCTGCTGGAGAACAGGGCTGGGGGGGAGGCGGGGCTGGGGGTTCTGCACCTTTCCCCGCTGGGAGGGGAAGCAGGGAAAAGAGCAGAATGCCGGCAGCAGTTCCAGCAGCTGTACCGCCCCCAGCCCCACCCTCCCAGCCCTGTCCTCTGGTGGGGCTGCTGCTATACAGATGGAGCCGGAGGAGAGGCAGTTCCGTGGAAGGGCAGGGGGCGGGGCTAGGGGTGGTACAGCCACACCAGAGGAGGCATGGGGTCATCGGCTCCTGCTGTGTCTTGCCGGTATGCCGTACCGGCTATACATATCTTGCTGGTACGGCATACCGGAGCGTACCGGCCTACTTGCACTGCTGTGTGGAACTGACATTGAAAATGGATTAAGTTAAAGCACAAAAAGGCACTCTTAGTGCAGAATAAGTGTGTCCATACAGGGAGCTAGTGCAGAAGAGGCCGTTGTACTTTAAATTCATATACTAGCTAATTCATGCTAACTTTCCTGAGAATTCCCTGTCTAGACAAGCCTATAGATTTGGTTTTGAGGAGCATCCAACATGTGGGAAAATGAGTAAATTTTTTTGTTGAGGGGGTGGAACTAGGAAAGAAGGAACTGGCAGTATCTAAGGTATGTCTACAATGCAGCTGAAAGGTGTAATTCCCAGCTTGGATAAAGGTACACACGCTAGCTCAGTTCAAGATAGGATGCTAAAAATAGCATTGTGGCCACGATAACGTGGACGGTGGCATCGGTTAGTCACCTGAGAACATACCTAGAATCTTGGACAGGATTGTATTCTGGTGGCTAGCACAAATTGTGAAGCCACACAGCTATTTTTAGGCTATAGTCCTCAGTCAGAGCTAGTGTGCATATGTCTGCCCTCACTGGGAATTACACCTCTCAGCTTCAGTGCAGACATACCGTAAGAGATATTAAGTCAGTGCCAACAGTGGTATATATATGAGAACTTATTTTTGCCCTTATTATGAAGTATATAGGGCCTGAAGAACAGAGTTAATCAAAGACAGAATATCTGTCTAACATAAACTTTCTCAAGAAGTAATATTTCTGTCAAGGGTGGGAAGAACTGGAATACAGAAAAGAAGAAAAAACAAAACACTTTCTGTAGTAGGTTCTCCACAGGCCACAGGAATGAATATCCCATTAAGGACAACAATGTGTAAAAGCAGAAGAGGACAGTGAAGGGAATGCGGTGTGGAGGTTAGAATACAGGATTGCAAGTCAGGAGTCAACCCTGCCATGGACTTGTGTGTCCTGGGTCAAGTCTCTTCACTGCTCTTCCTTAATTTCCCGACCTATAGGAAGGGGATATTATTTATTTACTTCACATGAGCCTGCTTGCTTAAGGTTTTAAAGCACTTTGAGATACTCTCATAAAGATGGTATAGAAATGTAATGTATTTATTAAAGTAAGATGGGAAAATCTGTGAGGGGGAGAGCTCATATATAAGTTAGTTCTGGGGACACTTCAGTTATCTGATCTAAAATGTAATTTATATTTCTAAGATGTAAAAGCAGCTCTGTCCAGACAATGGTCATCCCTGAGTGGGACTTTCCATAGTGATTTCAGATTGAAGCCTGCCCTCATGAGAGGATTGGACCATGCTGGATGTATCCAAGTAGAAGGACCATCTAATTAGTCCCCAAGCTATGAAGGTGGTCCTTCAGGAAGAGTAAGTCAGAACTGCTTCATCAAGGTCAAGATTACAGAAGAGAGTGTGCTCTTTTGATCCACCAACAATCTGAAGTTAAGTGCCCTTCCTATTCCCCTTGGGCAGACCACCCAGGGTAACAGGAGAAGAAGACTCATGTTGTTGGCTATGCCAGTCTGACCAGCCTACTACTATCCAAGACCCCCTCAGTGGCGCCAAAAGCTCAGACCAAGCTACTACATTGCCTGGTTCTAGTAACTGCAGCAACTGAGATCCCGAGACCACAAAGCAAAGTTCCAATTCTTTTTTTAGGTTTTGTCTTAAGGGAGGGATGCCTCCTTATTCTATTAGGGTATGAATGTGTCAGATCTGAAACCTGAAAGGCAAACCCCAAGTCTGTCATCTAAATTGGTGATGTCTCTGTCATACAGAGCTGCTATTTGAGCCTGATTCAGTAATCACCTCTGTTCTGTGGTATTTGTGTGAAGTGGGAAAGGAATAAGAGAGTAGAATAATAGCTATCATAGCAACAGAAAGTTTTAAGGAGGAAGCAGAGTAGCACTGAAGTTGTGGACAAAGAAATTTGGTCTCTGTACGTCCTTAAAACTAGATGAGTGCAGTTTACCTCTCTGTGTAATCTCCCCAGGAGCGTAGCCACGGGTGGGCCTGGGTGGGCTGTGGCCAACCCACTTAGCATCCAGGCCCACCCCCCATCCCTGGCTCTGCTCTGGCCCCAGCGCTTGCCCTTCTCCACTCCACCTGCCCGGCGCTCCTGCAAGGGAGCGGGGTCGGGGCACGGGGGCTTGTCCCACTCTGTCTGCCTGGCGCTCCAACCAGGGAGCAGGGTGGAGCAGGGCAAGCCCCCGCACCCTGACACTGTGCCCTGGCTGGAGCTCCAGGCAGGCGGGCGGAGCAGGGCAAGCCCCCACGTCCAGACCCTGCTCCCAGGCTGGAGTGCTGGTGGGGCAGGTGGAGTGGAGCAAGTTCCCACGCTCCCACCCCACTCCATAGTAGGAGCATTGGTCAGGCCGAGTAGGTGGGGGTGTGGGAGTGCCCATTTTTCCTGGGCCCTGGGTTGGCCCAGTGGCTAATCCACCACCGGGAGGAGGACGAGTGAGCGGGCGGCCGGCATCGGTAGAGGAGATCTTAAAAAAAGGTAGGCCTGCCGCCTGGTGGAGCTGGGCCCGGCATGGGGCGGTGGGACCTGGAAGAGAGCCAAGAGCTGTGCGTGCTGAAGAGCAGCATCTCCTCCCGGAGCTGGGTGCGTGCCCAGGGCCCCGGGGTACCCCTGGCCAGAGGGTCCATCCATCGCCCCAGGGCCGGCTCTACCATTTTTGCTGCCCCAAGGAAAAAAAAAAAAAAGCCGCCTGAACTGCCGAAGCCGCACCAAGAATGGATGGAATGCCACTCCTTAGCATGTGCCACCCCAGGCACGTGCTTCCTCCACTGGAGCCGGCCCTGCATCACCCCCTGCAAGGCTGGCTGCAGGGGGCTGGGGGAGGTGGGCCCACATTCCTCCTGTCCTGCTCCTCCCTTCCCCCCCATAATTGCCTGCCCACCCGAAGTCAGGGCCCACCCAAATATCCCATGCTGGCTACCCCACTGAATCTCCCTCAGTCATTATCTAAACTCAAAACCGACAGTCACGTTTAGATTGACGATTGATTTCACAGTCAAGACAGGATCCCTCACTGGAGTTGTTAGATTAAAGGACAACAACTACCTCCTTCAGTCTATTGATTAAATAAAAGCAATTTTTCCTTGGGTCAACCTCATGATATAATTTGATTACCTGCTTATTAATTTGATGATTTGATAAATGATAATCTAAACTATTTAGAGAGAGATGGTGGATGAAGTAATATCTTTTATTGGACTAACTTCTGTTGGTGAGAGAGACAAGCTTTCAAGCCACACAGAGCTCTTTTCTCTCACCAACAGAAGTTGGTTCAATAAAAGATATTACCTCACCCACCTTGTTTCTCTAATAGCCTGAGACTGACACAGCTATAACTACACTAAATATCTAAACTAATGTCACTGTTAACTCATTGATCTACTGATTTAATCTCAATTGTGATCTTAATTGATTATTGTATTGTTTCATTCTTATAGTAGTTTTAGCCTTATCGATATATTTGTTTAATCTAAATATGTGCTTGCTTATTCTTTTTAGTAAAATCCATAAAAAGTACATAGACCTGGTTCTTTCAAATTGAAACATGGGTCCAGAATCACAAGGAATAGGGTAAAATTAGTTATATTATCTGAGAGCCACTTGGCTCTCTTCCTAAATTAAAATGTTTGTCCCTCACAAGCAATATTGCACTATAAACTGAAAGTCTAAGAATTCAAATTCTGGAATACTGCCAGGGCAGAGAGAATGTACTGCTAGAGCAAAATGATTTTGTTTGGTGTTATGGAAAATAGGACACAAGTTTTACTTATTAGTATGCATTAATTAATTTGTGCTTGAAAGCTGGAGCAATTAGTCTCCAGCACACCCAGAAGAAGCCCCTAATCCAGTATCTCAATCACAGAAATAAGAGGTCGCAAAATTTCATATTGGAGGAATGGAGACAAGGTGGGTGAGGTAATATCTTTTATTGGACCAACTTCTGTGGGTGAGACAAGCTTTTGAGCTTACACAGAGCTCTTCTTCAGGTCTGTGTAAACTCGAAAGCTTGTCTCTCTCGCCGCTGGTAAAATGTGGATCTGGCTAGAGAATCTTGCCTGTATGCTCGGGGTCCTACTGATTGCCATATTTGGGGTCGGGAAGGAATTTTCCTCCAGGGTAGATTGGCAGAGGCCCTGGAGGTTTTTCGCCTTCCTCCGCAGCATTGGGCAGGGGTCGCAAGCTGGAGGATTCTCTGCGACTTGAAGTCTTTAAATCACGATCTGGAGACTTCAACAGCCAAGTTAAGGGAAAGTGGGTGGGTCAGCTTTTGTGGCCTGCATCATGCGGGAGGTCAGACTAGATGACCATAATGGTCCCTTCTGACCTTTAAGTCTATGAGTCTATGAACAGAAGTTGGTCCAATAAAAAATATTACCTCACCCACCTTGTCTCTCTAATATCCTGGACCAACACAGCTACAACAACACTGCATACATATTGGAAAAAGGCAGTTAAAAAGGAGAAACCATTTAAGAACCATATTACTAAGATCGCTTTGCATATTCAGTAACTTAAAATCTTTCCTTAACTCTTCAGGGAATGGTGATACATAATAATTTAAAATGGGAGACTTACCTGTTTTTGCAAAACTCGTATCCTAAGTACTGTGATGAGGTCTGTGGAAGTATGCATGAAGTTGGCACACAATTATGCTCATCTTCACTATAAGAGCTAAAAACAATTAGAACAAGATTTAAACAGATAACGGAAGTCTGTACTAAAATGATAATCCATTGTATAACATGCTTCACTGAATACCATCCCAGAACAAAGATCATTAACATTGTGAGATGACATGTGTCTGAAATAAGAATCCTTTAAGTAGTGTTTTTGATTATAAAATCATAGGAGAATTATGACTAAATTCCAGCTACAGTCTGTTAGAAGAGACAGTACAACAAAAATTTCAATAATGGGTGAATTTCTGGCAAACTGTTTTATGGAGTAAGAATGAATGTATGAAAGGCCACTCTTTTTAGTGAGTACAGATTATATTACTTTGTAATTAATTATTGTTTGCTTTATCATTATCAAGAACAATGATTCAGAAAAGATTCACTGGCATGAGCAAGTTGTAACAAAAATATGAAGTGCAATACGTGCTAATGATAGCAGAATATTACATATACTGTACTTAGCTGAAAACAGCATATTTTTAGGGATTTAGTGTGTTGAAAACTAAGTGCCACATGCTATTTTTGCCATTGTTTACCTATCATATTTATTTATGTCCAGAAATGACTCCAGATAGACAGCTTATCCGCATATGGCAGCAGTTTGTAAACCATACTGAAGACCATAAGAAAAAAGTCCCAGACAAAACTACTTTGTGGATAGCACTGGTGTAATTACAAGGAGGGGACTTGTCCCCCTCACATCTTTTATATGGGGAGGGACCAAGGGATGGGAGACAGGGAAGGGAGTGAAGAGAAACATATTTGTTGAGAAAAGTTACTCCCCTGTTTATATATGTAAATTCGGTGGACACCTGTGTGGGAAGCACGGAGTTCCAACTGAAGCAAACAGATATCAATTATTAGATACAAAGAGGAGCACAGACAATAGCTTCTTAGTAAGAATACTGTGAGACAAAGCAAAATGCTGAGAAGGAAGCTTGAAATATCGGAAAATTAACTTCAAGGTAATAATCCTCATAGTTTTTCTTCTACAATGACTATTGAACATCTGGTCACTGCTAACACAATAGATGTTCTCTATATCTAAAAGGCACTCCTGATGCCTGTAGGAGGTATGGACTAACTTACTATCTTGACTAACACACAAATTAGTTCTAGAGGGCTAGACCCAAGATATAAGGATAGAATTATTTCAGAAATGTGTCTAGAAAGGTACTTTCTATAAGAACAGTAAGAGATCTACATATTTCCAGATGTGGATCCTCTTTTTCCAATCAAAAGGATTAACTTCTTTTCTGTTGACAAAATCTTCTATTTAGCAGAACGCAGAAACATCATTGCTCTTCACAGCTACACTTGGAATTTACTAGGAGGACAGCTTTATTTCTTGTGATTCTGGTAAGGTGAAAAAACTGCTGATTGCCCTCTAGCAATGGCTTCAAGTCTGACATTGTGCCATGCTACAGAATTAATATTGACTTTGAGTGTCAGTGAGTTAATAGTATATATGGGATGTGCCTTGGAACCTACTCTGGATTTGGACATAAGACAATCTTTGCTTTATTGCTGAATTGACTCAACAGAAGTACATCCTTAGAATTGTTTACACTTTTTACATTATTCTTCTGCATTACTCAAGGCTGATGTGAAAACATAAACTAGAAGTTTCACTTCCCACTCTCTCCAGCAAATACTCATTTGACAAAGCTATCAAATACCTGGACTCTTTTACAAGTCTTTTCAGGTGCAATATGCCCAGGGTGCACTTTGATTCTAAAAAGCTAAAATGTTCTAAAACAAATACTTTTTATATGAAAACATTGACTATGGACGTATACCCAGTTGGAAATGGTTTAGCAGCACCATATGCAGATCCTTTTTTCATCTGCAGAATAGGAGATGGGTTTTCTTGATAGCTCTGGACTCCCTGAGTAAGGTTTGGTATTGCAGTACTCTCCTCGCAGTCTCTCAAGTCAAAGGTTGAAGAGTATTCTGCTTAAAGTAGATAGTCACAGAAGTGTACATAAAATATTAGCATCTGAACATAATTAGAACACACATTAAGGAGTATAAATGACATGAGTTTGTTAAGCTCCTTTTACTAAATATGAAATCAGCAGAGATATATCATCGGGAGAAAAAACACTTGGGTTGTTTGTTTTTAAAAAGTGAGGCCATTTCACAAAAACCATGTCTCACTCAATGCATGGTCATATGAAACCCTTAGAAATACCAGGAAATGTAAGGTACATTAGTAATTAAAGGCCAAATTTTGCTCCTTCTGAAGTCAATGCTTAAGGCTGTGAGTTTGTCACGGAGGTTATGGAAGTCACAGATTCCGTGACCTCTGTGACTTCCGCAGCGGCCGGTGCACCTGGCTCAGGGGCAGCTCAGGTAGATCTGCCAATGGGAGCTGCGGGGGTGGTGCCTACAGGCAGAGGCAGCGTGCAGAGCTTCCTGGCCACGCCTCCGCCTAGCTGCTGAGCGAGAGGGATGTCACTGCTTCCGACAAACCCGCAGGTAAGTGCCATCTAGAGCCCACCTCACCCCGTCCCATGCCCGAATCCCCTTCCCCCTCCCACACCCAAACTCTGCTGCTGCTGCGGGAGGGGGAGGCACGGAGCCAGGTAGGGAGCCTATCGGCCCCACCAACCCCACCCCCCCAGCACCAGTGGGAGTCCCAGGCCACTACCCGCCCCTCCCCACAGCACCTGGGCCTCCCTCCCCTGGCACCTGCAGGGTCCCTGGGCAGCCCCCCTCCCAAGTTTTAGTCACAGGTATTTTTAGTAAAAGTCACGGACAGGTCATGGGCCGTGAATTTTTGTTTACTGCCCATGACCTGTCCGTGACTTTTACCTAAAAATACTAAAATGTAGCCTTATTGATGGTTAAATTTCTATTAACTTAACCGGGGGAGAGGGATAGCTCAGTGGTTTGAGCACTGGCCTGCTAAACCCAGGGTTGTGAGTTCAATCCTTGAGGGGGCCACTTGGGGATCTGGGGCAAAATCAGTACTTGGTCCTGCTACTGAAGGCAGGGGGCTGGACTCAATAACCTTTCAAGGTCCCTTCCAGTCCTAGGAGATGGGATATCTCCATTAATTATTATTATAAGGAGAAGGATCAGGTCCTTATAAAGAAAAGATACACACAACAGACTGATTATGTAGAAGCCTTAATTAAGGAGCTCTATATGGCTGTGAATGCCAAAAATTAAGCTTGGAGAAATGCAGCACTAGAAGTTCTACCCTCTCTCTCTCCTCCACCGCCCCCACACACACATTTGCAGCACTGGAAAGGACAGCTTCTTAGTGAAGTTAACTAGACCATAAAATGACAAGCTTAACCATTTACCTTTTTTTATCCTTTCTGTCTTTAACAATGCGCTCCTCCAGTTACTTTCAAAGGGAAAACATCCCAATGATCTTCCTGAGGCTTTATTATTCAGATATTTGTGGTCAGACGTTAGACTTGGCATTTTTTGTTCTTTTGATGCCTGAGATGAAAGCGATCTGCTGTTTCAGATATGAAATGAAAAAGATACCGTGGATGCAAATATGTGTTTAAAGAGTAAGGTGATCGATGTTTTTCAAAAGCTACAAATCATGTTGTCAACATACATAGACACTTTGAATCAGGACTTCTCAATACATGGGAAATTACCCATAAGTGGACTGCTGACTGAACAAAACAAGTCAGTAAAATCCCATGGGCACTAGGACTCAGCAGGAGTGTGAGCAGAAGATGGAAAGAATCACTTATTCTCCATCCAACTCCTGCCTCCATCCTACTCCATTCCCAACCCTTGCTTCAGGTTCTCAGCCATTTCTTCCTCACCACACACCACATTCTGCTCCAGGAGAAGGAAAATATTACTTCAAGAGGGTGTCTAGCTGGCTGCTCCATAGCCTCTTGAAGCCGCAAAACTCCCATTGCTTAGGGCTGTGCATTACGGAAGGCGAAACAGTCTCAGGCAATAAACAGCCACAGCCCCTCTTCCCCCAACCTTTTAGCATGTATGCCAACAGCCAATAGCCCCACAAAACTCCAAACCATCTGGCGTTTTTTGCTATCAATCTAATTTCACAATTTTTGTAGCAACAAAGGACTGTGGGATTGGGTGGGTTAGCTTAAACTAATCTGGTTTTGGATCCCTAGTACAAAAAGACTGAGAATCATGGGCTTAATAAATAAAATACATTTCATATTATTTTTCAAGAGAGAGCTTTAGTAATGTGTACTGAATGCTCAAGAACCAGGGTCAGTTTTTTTTTTAATAGTGAAAAACAACTTTTTCTGGTCACAAATATACAATCCTGCAAATCACTGGCTGCCACTATATATCAGCATCTATGGTGGTGGTAGTGATGTCAGCAACTACAAAACCCCACGGAAAAAGTTACCTGCCCTATTCAAACCAATCAAGAACAGAAGTGGATGGTCATTTGGCCACATCCTCACTCCATCCACCCAAAAATGAGTCAAAGAAAAAGGGGGATAGATTTGTGATCAGAAAACACCCAAAAGCTTTTCTTCCACCCATCAAGATAACAGCAGAGAGTTAATGGAACATCGAGGCTAGTGAATACAAGCTACAATATGAAAATACAGGAGAAGGAGGACTGTTCAGTGGTTAGGATGCTGGTCAGGGACTGAGAAGAGCCAGGTTTTATTCCTTGCTATGCAGAGGTGAAAGTAAGTTAACGGACTTACTGGTACACAGGGAGGCCAGGGTCCTAGGCAAGGTTGGGGGGCAGCTCTGGGCCCCCAGAAGGGCGGGGCCTTGGGCGGAAGGGGCGGGGCTGGGGCCAGACTCCCCTAGCCAGCCCTTCAGGGCTGCCCGGCCTGCGCGGCTCAGGGCTCTGGCGGCGATTTAAAGGGCCTGGGGCTCCAGCCACTGCCGGGAGCCCCGGGCCCTTTTAAATTGCGGGGCCCCAGGACAGCTGCCCCTTTTGCTCCCCCCACATCAGCGGCCCTGCCTGTATGGTAGCTGTGTACCGGCTTTCTTACTAGTATGCCGTACCGGACTGTACCAGCTTACTTTCACCTCAGCTGCTACGTCACAGACGTCTTGTGTAACTTTTGGCAAGTCAATTAGAGCCTACCAATGAGGCAATAACTCAGACATAAATGATTCTCCTGAACTCAGAACTACACCAGCTCCATCCCACAAGATTTTCCCCACAACTATGGAGAAGATCTAGGTTTAATTCTGTCAGGAGATATGAGTGCTAGAAAGGCAGCAAACTCAGCTCAGAACCTTTGTAACCAACTCTTGTTTCAGACCTGACAAATTCACTACATCAAATACATTGCTTACAAGATATTTGTCCATAAAGGGTAACATGTAACGTCTCTATTGAAAGCCTGAAACTTCTAGATGCTCAGAATCATGGTATGATTTGAGAATGTTACCCACACACCACCTAGGTGTGGTGTTCTGTCCCATCTAGTGGCACTGAGATCACTTAAAGAGAGAGAGAGAGAAAACGAGTCTGCTCTACAGCCTTAGCTAACAGCCAATTGGCTTTTAGCTCATGCACTAAGGTCCCCAGTTCGATACTGCCCGCCAATGACTGGGGCCTGTCGGCGTTACATGTACACACAATATTTAAGGAATAGTGCAACCATATGATGAGCAAGTCCACTATGTCCATATCCGGATTGATCGCAGCCCGGTTAGTAATGACCATGCCATCCTTCTCCCACCAGGGTAATAAATAAATAAAATAAACGCGACAAGTATACACGTAGACGCGACAAGTATACTACTGGTGTAACCCCAACAAAGAGGATCCGTGGAAGAGATAACATCACCATAGCCACATGGAATGTAAGGACATTGAGACAAATAAGGAGGTTGAAAGAACTCACGTATGAAATGGAACAATATACCTGGCACTTCCTAGGAATCTCTAAGGTCAGATGGAAGAACTTTGGAGAGCTACTAACAGAAAAAGGCCATGTACTCTATTACAGTGGAGAGGACAAACATGTCAATGGTGTAGGATTTCTTGTGCATAAAGATATCAAGAATTCAGAATTAGGATGCCGCCCAATGTCCACCAGGCTCATTTCCATCCACCTAAAGGCAGTACCATTTGATATCACAGTGGTACAAGAGACTATGATGTAGGGGTACGCCCCTACAAGAGACTATGATGATGAGAAAATTGAAGATTTTAACTATCAGCTCCAAGACATCATTGATAAGGTACACAAGAAAGATATCCTGATTGTACAAGGAGATTGGAATGCTACAGTGGGTACTGATGCACAGGCAGATTGGTGAGATTACTGTGGCCCTTTCTGTAATGCGGTAACCAATGAGAGAGGATTGAGACTTTTGGAGTTTGCCACCTATAACAATCTGGTTCTTGCAAACACATTAGGAGCACATAAAGCATCCAGACAATCAACATGGCATGCACTAATGGTCTACATCACAGCCAGATCGACTACATCATGGTGCAAAACCGATTTCATTCTGGGATTAACAGAGCTAAAACAAGGAGCTTCCCCGGTGCTGATATTGGAAGTGATCACGACCTTGTGATGCTAAATTTTTGGCTGCAGCTAAGGAAAATCGTCAGGCCAAAGTTCACCAAAACCAAGTTTGACTTAGAAAGACTCAGAGACCGAAACATTGCAGAGTCATTCCAAGCAATGATCGGTGGAAAATTTGTCCCACTGCTTGCTCTAGAGGAAGACGTAGAAACAATGACCAACAATTTCAATGCTGTAATGAATGAGGCAGCAATGGACATCCTTGGGAATCATCATAAGAAGACAGTCCTGTGGCACCTTTAAGACTAACAGATATATTGGAGCATAAGCTGCGTCTGAAGAAGTGGGTATTCACCCATGAAAGCTTATGCTCCAATACATCTATTAGTCTTAAAGGTGCCACAGGACTCTCTGTTGCTTTTTACAGATCCAGACTAACACGGCTGCCCCTCTGATACTTGACATCATAAGAAGACAAAATCATGGGTCACAAATGAAATACTACAAATGTGTGACATTAGAAGAGAACTTAAGAGAGACAAGAACAGCACTGAGGGAGCTGATAAATACAGAGCAATTGGCAGATATATCAAGAAAGGAATTAAGATGACCAAGGAGATATGGATTGAAAAACAATGCTCTAAAATTGAAGAGTGTATCAATAATAAAAATAGCAAATGAGCCTTCCAGGTTGTAAAAGATCTGATGAAGAAAAGATGGACCAAAGCTAATGTAATTCAAGACAAAGAAGGGAACAGTCTTACAGAAGAAAAGGACATCATCAATAGGTGAACAAACTACTGCTCTGATCTATACAACCACCAGACAAATGAAGATCCTAGTGTCTTAGACAGTCCACATTCAACAGAGGAGGATGACTTTCCAATACTATGTGAAGAAGTGGAGACAACTGTGAAATCACTCAAGAATGGAAAGGCTACAGGTATTGACAAAATCCCAGCTGAACTGATGAAATTCAGAGGAGAAATAGTAATAGATGTACTCACCAAGATCTGCAACAAGATCTGGCAGACTAGTGAGTGGCCCTCCACGTGGACACAGTCACTAATCATCACTCTGCCAAAGAAAGGCAACCTGCAATTGTGTCAAAATTACCGGACCATAAGCTTAATTAGCCATCCTAGCAAAGTGATGTTGAAAGTCATATTGAACAGATTGAAGCCACAAGCAGAGAATATCATCGCTGAAGAACAGGCTGGCTTTCGTACTGGAAGAAGTATCACAGAACAGAATTTCAACCTTCATGATCTATATGAGAAGTACTTACAACACCAGCAGGACATCTACCACATCTTTGTTGACTTCAAGAAGGAATTTGACAGAGTATGGCATGAAGCTCTCTGGGCAACCATGAAGAAGTACAATGTTGGTCGTGAGCTTATTCTTACCATTAAACAACTGTATGCCAAGGCCAGCAGTGCAGTTCTCGTCAATGGCACAATAGGAGAGTGGTTTCGCCTTCTTTCGCCCACACTATTAAACGTCTACTTGGAGCGCATAATGACTGATGCCCTAGAAGATCACTTATGCACAGTCAGCATTGGTGGGTGAACAATCTCAAATCTTCAATTCGCTGATGACACTGATGGCCTGGCAGGCAGCGAAGATGAACTTGCCAACCTTGTGAAATGATTGGATGAAACCTCCGCAAAATATGGCATGGAAATCAGTGCAGAGAAAACCAAGCTAATGACAAACAAATGTGATGGGATCAGCTCACTTATCACTGTCAGTGGACAAGAGCTGGAGATAGTGAAACAGTTCAAGTATTTGGGGGCAATCATCACTGATGAAGGATCCAAGGCAGAAATTCGGGCAAGAACTGCGCAAACAGCAGCAGCAGTGGCAAAGCTAAAGCCAATTTGGAGGAATAAGAACATCTCCCTGGAATCCAAACTGAAACTGCTGCATGCATTGGTCATCTCCATTTTTCTGTATGTGTGCGAGACATGGACCCTTACAGCAGAACTTGAACGGAAAATACAGG